CCTAAGAAAAAAAAACTCGCTTTGTCATTGTTATCTCTGATTTTCCTTTGAAATCTTCTCAAAACGCAGGACTGAATGCCATTCAGAAGGTCAATATTCAAAATTTTCCGGACCCCCTCCCCAACGCATACGGCGCTCGCTGGTCCCTCGGTCAGTAAGAAGCCCCTTCCCCCACCCCCACAAGCAAAATCCTGGCTACGGGTATGCAAATGTAGAGTGGTGATTAGCTGTAGAGACACAGTGCCATGATATACAATGTAGATATGAGGGAGACATGAGAAGGAGGTGCAGTGGAATGGAAGACAAACAATCTATAGGAAAAAACCGTGACAAACATGAAGATTTTCAGCAAGCTTTGAAGCTGTTCACAGCTATGATAAAGCCTGAGCACCCACTACATGACCTAGTCGCCCCCCCAACGGTCCACAGCTACAGGTAGATGCTTGCGGAACGACAGTGCCTTCACTGTGCCAAAAGCCAGGACTGAGCGACTGAAAAGGTCATTTGTTCATTGTGCGGTAAAACTGTACAATGAGTCTGTTTCATAAGCTATCCCATGCTGTATCGATCTGTATCGATCTGCATCCAATTTTGTTATCTTTAAGCTGTTATTGTTCATTGATTGTATTGTATTATGTGTTTTGATTATATTGTAACAAACTATCCACTTCAGGGAGACTCTTGTCTTTCCCTGCATATGTATGTTTGGTGGTTGGAAAACCAATAAACCAAGAGATGTAGTGAAACCTGTCCACCAGAAACACAGTCTTCTTGAAGAAGTGTGGATCCCTGTTCATCACATACCGATGCTGGCAGCTGTTGTCGTACACGACTGTCCTGGGGGCCGTCTCGAACCGTGTCCTGAAGATCTCGAACGGATGGTGGGGTGACTCGCAGCTCCGCATGGCCTCGAACCCGTAGCAGACTCCGTGTGGGCAGTAGATGGTGAAAAGACCCGGTGTCAGGGATGGATGACCGTACGATTCTTTCCGGCAGCTGTCCTTATCCCTCGGTTTCCTCGTTTCGTCCACAGCGTACCTAGGCAGACCGCAGAGCTGAGGAAGTGAAGGGAAGAAGGAAAGAGAAGATGGAGCGGAAGAAGCGGGGTAGCTGTCAGGAGAAGGAATAGGAACCTGGTCAAACGTTTGAGCCAGGACAGCCAAGAGGGAGAGGATCAGAGTAGAAATGTCAGAAGGAATGCGGCCTGCTTCAGTTACACTGCAGACAAAGTCTGCTAGTACCGGTGCCCTCTTCTGTAGATGTCCCAGGTACTTGGAGAACAGATTGTTGTTCAGCACGATCTTACCCTCCGCCACTTTCTTCAAGGTACCGATGGCGTTTCTGTCACCTGCGATCTGCATCATTCCACACACGGGGGTACTTCTCGCGAGTTCAGACAGGAAGGTGCTGTACTTCGGCGGAGCGCGCGTTGCGTGTCCCTCTTCCACCAAACGTCTCAGGACGGCTGTCACGTCTTCACGCCCAGTCCGGTCCAACTTGTCCTGCAGCTCTTCCATCTCCGTGGCGGTGATCCCCGACTTACCCGAATACTTACCTGAATACTTACCTGAATACTTACCTGCCCCCCTCCTCTTGTTTCCCGAATACAAGAGGAGGAGTTCGCGCGCCCTGGCGCACCTGATGAATACCCGCTGTCCATGCCTCGATCCCCTAACCACTGGCGTCTCGTCAGGCTGGTCCTCCGGTGGGGGCTGGTACTGGAGCAGATCCTTGCGGAATCCTATCGCCGTGCCTATAGATTATAAAACCAAAACGAAGAAAAAAATTCTCACTGAGGTTAGATTGAGTAAAGTATGTTATAGATGGTATAAGATCCCACTGATACAATCCCACTATCATCCTATTAGTGTTACTAAAGGCCAGAAATGAGTGCTATATTCCGACAGACATCTATTTTATATAAATTATATTTACATTAACACATTATATATACATTAATTAACTATTCAATTTAATGTTCATGTTCAAAATTCATCTACATGCAAATAAATTGATAAGATCAAAATCCAAAGTATATGATCAACTTACCGTCACACACGATTATGTCCGGCACCGGGCCGCATTGGTCGCACGTGTACTCCTACAGTTTGTGAAATGATGAAAAAAAAGTTGAGTCTTATGCGGTACATATATCGATCAATCAATCAATTCCACGACTGTTGAATAGAACATGCTCTTGACATGACGTTCCTTGAAATATAAATATATAATTATAATATTCTTGATTATCCACATAAGGAAATTCTCACCTTCTTCCAGTCAATGTCCAGTCTCCTGGCCCATGTGTTCCACCCTTGCCGAAGAATGCCGTACGGGATTCCCTTGAAGTTGTCCAAGTCGCACACAGACCTCGTTCTGTTGCACACTCTCTCCATCGTTTTCAGGGGCTGGCGACCCTCCACCATGGAATGGAGATAGTCCACCAGCAGCCCATAGAAGATCATGTGCCTGTGAAAAATGCAGATATTGAGTTAATGAATATTCAGAACCCGCCTGGAGTCACAATCAACATGGGTACAACAAATTTTAATGTATATATGAGGTCATATATGTACTTAGTTGAAATAAGTTAAAAGTGTCGTTAAAAGTTACCTATTGTCGATGTTGTGTAAGAGGTCCGCGGACCCGTCATACATATGACGGCATCCGCAGTCGCCTACGGTTGGCCTGTAGAAGACCACCCGTGGCTGTTGTCCATCGGGGCCGGCGTAGTAGTCGGTGATGGTGGCGTAGCGGGTGTAGATGCACACGCCGACATGCTGGATCCACTCCTGGGCCACAGGATCTCTGTCGTCCCAGTCGTGTCCGTGTCTGCATGCGCCAGCGGGTACATCAGGCACCAGATTCTGAGGAAAAGTCTCGGTATGATGTACATACCTTAGAACAGTTCCAAATTAGTATAATGAATGAAGACCTTTATTGTACATTTATGTCGTACATATATGTTAACTTCTAGTATACACAAGTAGGCTCGTCTACCTAAACTACAAAATCGGCATTCTTTGTTATTTCACGATAAAACAACCACAGACTACTAGTAATTATCATTGAAATTACAAGCAAGAAATTCACGCATGCTTAATGATATAGTACTTACCTATGAAACTTTTCCCTCATCTCTTGTGTGAATGGATAAGGTACAGGAGATGTGGAGACAGACTCAAAGCGAGGCTCGCTAGAGACCGTCAACACGAGGTTCGAGTCCACATTCCTGTCCCTACACCATTCCTTGTACGCACTGACGTGCGCACAACTCTTCTGGCGCCCGCTACACGACACGCAACAAAGCTTACCACCGTCCCCCATACGCTTCAGAATCCCTACAGGAATAGAAAATACACAATAGACTTTCTCATGTTTGGTCGTGAAAGCCAAATGATTCGAATGAACGAGAATGATATGATAATGCGTCAAGACTATGTAATATCAATATTAGAGTGTGATAATACAGTATTCTCACCGTATGTGTCTCCGTCATGGGCAGCAGCGATGAACGGCTCTGTTTGAAGCTGCTCCACAGGACCGTCCTCGCGCTCCTCATCTTCCTCAACTTCCACTGAGAGTGGCGTGGCGATGATATGTTTTGCTGCACGGGCGTGCAGGCAGTAAAGTCCTTCCTCCCGCACAGCAAAATCTCGAATATCCTCACCCGTCTGTGCCAAATATAAAGTTAAGTTGTTTATTGCAAATTCATGCCCGAGGGCTAATTGCAAACAGACATTGACAAGAAAAATGTGGTGATATAAGACTATTTGGACATAAAGGATAAACAGTAGATATGCAATATATGAACAGGTAAGAGGAACAAGGTAACTGCTATAACACTATCCTTTACTTGCAATACTAGTAAGTATCTACACAATCAAAGCAGGGAAACTATTATAACATTGAAATTGAACTGTTAGTACATGTAACACAATTACAGGTACCCAATTTCGTCAATATGGACAAAAAACAAATCCAAAGAAGTGTATTCCCATCATACCTCCCAATTCCATTGCGAAGATTACATATTTTGAAATTATATTCTCAACTGTGTTAGGATGACTGGGTAAATGCTTCTGTTACATAGATTACATACATTATAAAATAACACCTACCACTACACAGCTTGTGGCTGAGAGCCGTTCGTGTTGTTCCCGTGCTTCGTCACAGGAGCACAAGAATAGCACGTAGCTTTCTCCTGCAGCTGTTTCGAAGTTCACTGCCTGGACCAGTTGAAACTGACGTTCCTTTGTGCGTCCCCTTAGGTCACAGTCGGCCAGAGCGTAGGTGTTGTCCCTGGTAAGAGAGAACCACCTATGCTCGCGAACCAACGAGCTCACATAGCACGCCAAAGGGTCGGCCTGACCCAAGCACACAGTTCTGGAAAATTCCACTTTCAGTACAACTTTTTGATAGCAAAGTTAACCAACGTTAATATATACTGTAATTCACTTTATGTCCAAACTAGAGGTCGGAGATTCCATGTCTTCGTCATAGGTGCATTGTCCTAGAAAAATAGACATGTGTATTCTTTACCTTTTTAATAATCAATGGGGTCTACAGTACAAAAGAATCTCTGTACTCCTTTTTTATGCTACGGAGCACCCTGAAAGGGTTCGCCACAGATTTTACCAGACGCGCCGTCACCCATCTGTCAGCTTCAATTTTCAAATTCATATGGAACGAAACAAAAAACAAAGTGACTTTTACGTTAATAAAACCTTTATAGCTCCAACTTGCCAAACAGAACTTTAATAATATATATAGAAATAATATATATATATTATTATTTTTTATAGGTTCAATTAAAGCTATAAGAATAAAAACATT